AAAAGAATATAATGAAGGCAGGGACAAAGTAAAAGAAACAAAAAGGAAAGCAGATGATAGGGTAGATGATCCAAAGCTACTCATAATACTCCTCTAAATGTTTTCAGCAGAATCAACAAACAGTCAAACCCTTCTGACGAATTGTCAATCAGAGCCCTTCGAAGGGACTGGTGGAGTTGTTATGATAGGTTCTGGTGACAGCTGAATGGCCAAGAGCACTGAAAGCCTTCTCATTTTACATAGGAGGGGGAGACAGCAACTGATTGACTGATCCAATGACAGAGAGTGAGGAACTCTCTCTCATAATGCAAACTGAAGGAGATGTGGCACGTTTGTTTTACTTGACATACGACGATGACGCAATGAAAAATCATCGCAACACTAGCCCCTTTGCAAAGAGATACAAATATCACATTACTTCTCAATCCAGAATCAGCTTCTGTTCCTAAAATAAATGATTTTTGTTTTAATGCATGTTTCAAAGCTTATATTAACACAGCCAAAAACAGCTCAAATCAAAAACACATGAATTTAATGCCTAAAAGGCCCGTGTTTAATTTACATTTACAAGTTGGAAGCCCTAAGATCCAAAGAAACAATTACGGCTGGAGGCTAATTAAAACTGAATGAATCAGATCTCCTACTGTTGAACAAACACTAACATCACGATATGCAGTCCAAGCTGCAAGAGAGAGCTTGTCAGACGTGTGAAGAGAGATTCACTGGGAAGGACGACCACAATCATGATCTAACCAGGAGGGAACTCAAGAAAGGAAGGGATGAAGTTAGCTGGTTAGCTGCAACTACACTTTTAAAATAGGGGCAAGTTGTCCACGCTTAGATCAAACATGGATGATGTTGTTCTCTCATTGCAATGAGATTAAAAAACAAAAGTTAAATTAATTAATAAATATAGTGGGTTAATATACCTAAATTTATTGTTATTTCAATGAGTCCTCTGCAGGGTTACCAAGAGTAGACGTCTGATGATACAAGACAGAAGAAAAGTAGAAAAAAAATCAAATAATGAGGGGCAACAGGGACAGAAGAACCCTTTAAAACGACAGTGTGAGACAAACATATTTGTCACATTTAAATTTTTCAGATTATTAAACAAATTTTAATATTACACAGAGATAAGGCGATTGAATACAAAACACTATTTTAAAATCAGTGTTTATTTCATTAAGGGGGAAAAAAAGGTATCCAAACCTACCCAGGCCTAACTGATTGTGCCACCCTTGGCAGCAAGAATTGCACTCAAGTATTTAACAATAACTGGTAATTAATGTGTCACATCACTGTGGAGGAATTTTGAGCCTGCTATTCTGCTGCAAAAACTTGAATAGGACACTTTGTTTTTTTCTGAGCTGTTAAAAGATGGACTTGCTGGGGTGTTTCTGATCATTTTCCTGCAGAGTGTGCTTGAGCTTCAGGGCATGAACTGATGTCCAAACATTCTTCTTCTGGATTTTCTGGTAGAGGGCAGAATTCATAGGTTTTCATAGCTTTTATCCCTTAATAAGCTTTTTATCCCATCATTTAAAA